CACTCTAATCATATACAATCACATCCCTCCTTGTTCTTTACATGCCTCCTCCTTGCCTCTGAATTTCTGTATATACTGCAGGTTCCACACAAGAGGAGGAAACAAGCTTTGGGGTTCCTAACTAGGAATCAGTAACTTGGGCCTAAATGGTAAAAATATATTAAAGTAGGGTGGAGAGTCTTCCTCCATATATTTGGATTTTAGGAAAGTATCTGATGTGCACTGGGCACACAAAGCCTTGCTACTAGTACATTTTCTCGCTCTCAGTAACAGAGGGAATACAAATATAGATAAAGTGCCTACCACTGCCTACATTTTTTAATGTTTCATTGGAGTAGAGTTTGCTCTAGAAATGGGGACAAATTTTAGGAGAAATGTATCAGTTAAGTTGACTTCAACAAGCCCCCAGATGAAGTTATTGTCAGACTCAGGATTAAGTCTGATTCTTCTTTCTCCGTTTGTCCAAAGGTGGTATTTCACATGCATCAAAAGATAGCTATTGTGCCCTTGTTTGTATCTGAGTTATTAATTGACTAGATTTTTATGTACTTCCTGTTCACAAAAGTTTATTTTAATTCAAGCAATTTTGAAATGTAGAGCTAATATTTTACAAAACACTAAATTTTCATCTCTTCTCTACAAATGCCCTTGTAAAAATAAATGATAGAGTAACTTTCATATATTGATATGCTAGCACCATTAGTTTATTAGTATGCCCTTTTTCAAGTGAGAAAGTCTTTCAGTGTATTATTACTAGCATTTTCATTTATTAGTGCAGCTCGTTTTGATAAAGACAAAAAATTGCAAGAGACTGTATATTATTGATTGGTGGAATTATGAAGCAAGACTATAAAGCAGTAAGTTGAGGTAATAAATTAATTACCCTCCTGCCTAGTTCAGTCCCAAGTCTGTTCAAGTGAAGAATACTCCACAAATAAACTGATAAACTCAGAATACATACACTTTGTCTTCCACTGCCTTATTATATATGAATAAAACTCATTATCTGTTTTGTTTCAATAATAATTGTATTTTGTTGTCCTATATGTTCCTTTTGCTCTCTTCATCTCAAAATGTGTTGTAAAAGCACACATAAATAGGATAAACAAATTAAGCTGTTTAAATAAATTAATTTACTCTGCAGCTCTGTATTCAAATCTTATATGCTCACTGGATTTCATTTTAATGAAACCCTTCAAAGAACAATACATTGTATGCCAAACAGTGAAATTATATATTAAATGAAATGATTAAATATGCTGTGTTCCAATTTATACCAAAGCTGCACCCTGTGCATGCTTAAATCCTCCTAAATCTAAAGAAATAAATCTATTGTATTCTGAAAACATCTAAATTATAATCCTCCACTTGACTACTTAGTTCATGGGCATGTAAACACAATCAAACTCAATAATAAGCCTAGAGCTATGATGCAGTTAAACTTTTCTCATCAGTGTTTTAACTTAAAAAATAAAGACTATTAAAATAGAATCCAGTTAGATGTCTTGATACATTGTTTTCAGAGGTCTTCACCTACTCCATTAATAGGGTATTGAAACCCTCTGCAATCCCAGTAGCAAGTACAGCAAACATTTATGGGAATGTATCCTGAAAAGTTTTATTGATTAGTATAGATAGACATGTTGTTAATTTTCTTTGGAATGTATTCAACAAAATAAATGTTCATATGGCTACTGTGCATACTGATAATCAAAGTCACTGCTAATGCAGTTTGAGATATAAGAAACAGGAGAGTGCTCCTTCTATGAAACGCTTCTATGAATTACCAGTGACAGCTTTTCATGTCCTCTCCTAAGACAAATGCAAATTGTATTGTTATATTATACTTACTTTATTTTTTATAAAAAGGTATCTCCAGATCTATTAAAAAATCATGATTTTCAAAGAAAGAAAATTAAAATATTAATGTACAGCTAAAAATATCTATGACAAGCCAAACATGGAGATTTTTTCAGTAGATCTCTTACATAAATAACATCTTTAGTGAATAGCAAACTTTTATAAATATTTTGCCTTGTTAAGAAAAGTGTTTGTTCTTTATTGATATATAGATGTAGATGTAGATATATAGATAAAGCAGGTAGTTCATATATACATAGACATCAGTGATTCTCAGCCAGAATGCCCTGACACCCTGGGGTCTCTTGAGACCCTTTCAAGAGTGGTGTGGGGTGCCAAACAATGTTAGCACTGTTAGGTATACAAACATGATGTATAAACCAAGAGATTTCATATAGAAATCCACACTGTCAAAAGTATTCTGGCAGGTTGTGATCTTTGTGAGTTCCTTGGGAATTGTTTAAATATATTTTATAGTAAAAAAAAAAAAGTGAAAAATAGGATCTGGCATTTTCTGAGGGGGTTCCCTGAGCCTAATGAAGAAAACCTTGAGTCTAAAAAAGTTGAGAACCACTGAAATACACATGAATATATATATATATATACACACACACACACACACGCACGCACACACGCACGCACGCATGCACGCACGCACGCACGCACACACAAATCTATTATAGTACGTAACTTCCATATAGACGCCATCTGGAGATGTAAGTTCTGTAATTTAACCAGAATGGTTAGTCATGACGGTAAGCTACTGAGCATATTTAACATTTAAACACATTATATTCTGATTGGGAGCTCACTTCTCTTGAAACTATTCAGTGAATTTCTGTTTTTAGTAAATTCAGTGGCAAAACTTTCATTCCCCTCAATAATTCAGGATTTCATCCTGGTCTCTTAGGTCCTGAAAAAGCCCATTCCAATACTTGACCTCCCTCATAATCAGAAAGGTCTTCTTAATCTCCAACTAAATTTCTTCTAATGCAGTTTGAAATTCTTTCCCCCTGCGACCACAGAGAAAATATATCTCCATTCTTTTCATAATCACAAAGAGTGTCTAACTAGTTCTTAGATACTTTTTCATATTCTAGAGCATAAAAAGTCTGTTAGTGGGTGCATCTACACATACATTAACACACTTTAGTTAATACACATTAAATGAGGTACCTCTGGGTGCCTATACATGAGCACTGAGGCTGCTCCAAACACTGAAATTCCAGCAAGTCAGAGCAGTTTTGATTAATTGAGTAGTAGTTTCCATACTCCAGCAGCCCAAGCATAGGGATGCTGATACATGAGGCATGGTGGCACTTTAATTAGAGCGGTTCTAAGACCCACTTGCAATTAAGCGCCAGCCCTCCCTACCCCCAAAGCACACGTAAAAGTACCCTCCATTGTGAAGTTCTAAGAAAACACCCATTAGCCTGCTTTAAGGCTCATTAACTAAAGAGCAACTGTGAGAATTGTTTGATTGTGTGTGTGTTTGTGTGTGTGTGTGTATATATATTCATGTGTGTTTCAGTGGTTCTCAACTTTTTTAGACTCAAGGCTTCCTTCATTAGACTCAGGGAACCCCCTCAGTAAATGCCAGATCCTGTTTTTCACTGTTTTTTACTATAAAGTGTAATCAAACAATTCTCAAAGAACTCACAAAGATCACAACCTGTCAGAATACTTAAAACTGTTTTAAGTGATGCTTAATGCACATTAACCTATTTTAATGTGCATAAAGTAAATAGCAAGGTATTTCAGTGATGTTTTAATGCACATTAAAATAGGCTAATTTGCATTAAAGTGCACATGCAAATGTCTCCTTTGGGTCTTATTTTCTGAGCAGTCCCACCTCTCTCCCAAGACTGTTATTTATGTTTATTAGCTACTCTTTTCTTTGCTAACATCAACTATGTTTAGGCCCTTGAAAGCGATGGTTACTGAGAAAGCTCAATGTTTACAAGAGAAGACCCCGCATTTTCATAAAAGGATAGTTCTCCAGAGCCAAGTTTACTGCTCTTTGCTTATTGTTTTCTTTCTAAAGAGGCAAGAGTATCATATGTATTTGATACTTAAACTGACCCCCATTACAGATTCCTCACATATGCTGTTTTTTATCATATATGTAGACTCATTAACATTAGTTTTAAAAAATACATTGCTTAAAAATCATAAAATTGTATGTTTTTAACCAACTTAGAGTATGTTAATATGTTTCCACTCTGGTCATTTTATATTTAGGTATGGATTGTGATTCCTTTACATTCAATAGTGTCTTATTCCTCATATTGTCTACATTGAGCGGCAGAATTCTAGTTAGTGGGTGCACCTACACATTCAGTTAATGCAATGTAATAAACTCTAGAGCTCTTTGAGCTGGAGTCAACTGCTCCTGATGCAGTGTCTACATCTGTACCTGAGACAGCAGCATTTTCTGAGCCAGAGTAACCCTGGGCTAGCAGTAGGTTCAGGAGGACAGCCCTGGGCTCTGAGTGGCAGTGGTGGGTGGTGGAGGACTGCCTGGGGCACAAAGGTGCAGAACTGTGGAGCCATGTGGCTAGATGTCAGGCAGGAATCTGGCTCCTACCTTGTCACCATCTATACGTGCATTTCAGTGCAGTAAATGACTTTGCCATAAGATAGTATTGTTCCTGGTGGAGTTAATTAATGTACTGCACCCTAATTCCAGTGCATGTGTAGACTGTAGTACTTTACTGTGGAGCTAATTAATCAACTCTGCAGTAAAGTGCATGTGTAAATACACCCAGTGAAAGTAAAATTATTACAATCTTTTATTTATTTATAAATACATTACATCTTTCAGCAGTAGTGGTATCTGCAATCAAAAGGAAATAAAGAGCTCAGTGACATAATATTTTATAAATAAAACCTCTACTGTTAAAAATAAGCCTCATTCAGAGAGTCAGTTTATACACCTGACTGAATGATCAAGTCTTATACTTTTCTATAAACTCTAGAGTTTTAGGTGTGAGGGCCTTCCTGTGAACATCCGCTGCTCAGGAACAGGACTCAGGCAGTGAGATCGTGCAGATAAAAGGGAGATTCTATTGTATAAAATTATATTCAATATGCAAGAGGGCTGTGATGCTCAACTTCTTTTGGTTTTTTATGGGGTATAGGAACGTGTTCCAGACAGTCCTTCTCCTGCTCCTTCCCTTGAAGAGGGTCGAAGACCTGGTAGCCATCCATCATCCCATAGAAGCAGCAGTGTTTCCAGCTCGCCTGCACGGACTGAGAGCTCTTCAGACCGAATCCGTATGTCACATTCTTTTGCTTGTCACCACTTTAAATCTGATTAGTTGTAGCTGTTCTTTTCTTTAAAAAAAATCAAAATGGACTCATTTTAAGTAGTTCTTATATATAATGTGCTGAAGTTCAGCTGCAGTAACTATCTGTGGACATTATATTCTCTGGTTTACAGTATCATAATGTCTGATGCTACATTAGCAGGTACTGATACAAATTGCCATCATGTCATATTAAACATAAAGATATGAGCTATGAAATATAGAATTACAGCTGGAAAGCAATTTCCTAGATAAGTTTTAGAACAGGGTGTATAGCAACTGGAAATATATAGATATTTTAGGGAATTTAGTTTTATTTAATCCTGCTATCATACTTCTGTTAATAGATACAATTTTAGAAGTGACATCTTACATGATAAACTGCTTTAAAAATAATTCAAGAATTCAGTGAAATCAATTACCAGGCCTCAGTTTTTAAATTTGATAAATATAAAAATAGATAATGATGGGGGTATTATCACCTCATGACTTGCAAAGGATAGAGTGAATGTAGACCATGGTATCTTGAAGTAATGCCATTTTTATCAAGCCTCTATGTCCAGGATATAAATTTTATGGCAAAGACCCAGGATTCTAAAATATTCTAGTATAACAGGCTGAAAATTGAGGTTTTCAACCAAGATTATTTTATTAATACCACAATAAATGTATTCTACACTGCTCCTTCTTTTCATTATTGCTATGCTTCTGAATTTTATACTGACAACACATCACTGCAGCATAGAAATGGGCAAAGAGCAAGTCTGGGGTCTTTGGCACCTAGCTTGAAGATACTTTAGATTTTGGTTTCTGTGTAAATTTAGGATGGCACTTTGGGGATGCTTGTTAGATAAGAGGTTAGCTGGCTTTTTTCTAAAAAAGTCACCTGTGAAAGTAGATGGCAATGAAAATAATGCTCCATTCTTTTACAGATGAAAAATGTTTTCAATGGTAATAAGCTGGATCCTGGTTTTCTTTGATGAAAAAAATCCCCAATTTTTGGTTTAAAAAAGTAACCCAAAATCCACATTTTTCCATGATTAAAATGAAACAGCACTATATTAGATATAGATAGAGATCTATATTTATATTTATCTATATCTATCTATCTATCTCTATTCTAGCCAATTGCCCATCAAGAATGACGTGGGATGGAGTGGAACAGGGATGGCATGCCACCCTCTAATGTCCCATGCTGCTGCTGTTCTGCCTCCTGCAGGGACTGGGGTGGGGGAGCTGAGGCCAGTGCTGCTGGCTTCAGCTCCCCCACCCCCTGTCTGGTCCTCAGCACTGCTTGCAGGGAGTGGGGTTGGGGAGCCAAGGCTAGCGCTGCTGAACTCAGCTCCCCAACCCTCTGTCCAGTTCTCAGCATGGCTTTGGAACAATGGCAGCACTCCCCCATGCTTGAAGCACTCTGATTGGCTGTTTCCGTCAGCCAATCAGAGTGTGAATAAGGTGTTATGGACAGACAGACAGACAGACAGATTTAGGCTTTTATAATATTAGAATATAGGTATAGGGATCTATCTATCTATCTATCTCCATATAGATAGATATAGACATAGATATCTCTATATCTATATATTAGTGGTGTTTCATTTTAATCACAGACAAATGTGGATTTTGGGTTACTTTTTTTAATCTGAAAATTGAGGCTTTTATTTTTATCGGAGAAAATCAGGTTCCCTGGTTACTATATAAAACTGCTTACTTTCCCAGCCTTTTATTTGGAGTATGAGAACTAGACTAAAGTTTTGTATTCTGACATTGACACTAAACTAAATTTTTATTTTAAAATTTTATTTTTAATAGGCTGTATAAACCTATTGCAGTGTCCCCTAAAGTCAATTGAAAGACTCCTGCTATCTTTACTGATGCTGGGCCAGGCCCTCTGGAGTTGATTCTTAACAAAATTAGAAATTTAAATTAATGATAAATTTAAGAATAGTTCCTATAATAGCATGTTTTATCACTATAAATATTTCCAGTTTTATTGAGGTTTTCCTTTTCAAAGTCTCTTGCATCCTCACAAAAATACAATCACTAATTTTTAAAGCAGTGATTCTCAACCAGGGAACCATGGCACCATGGAGTGCTCTGACAGCCTTTGAAAGGTGCTGTTGGGAGAGAAGAGATAAGCAGATATCCTCTCCTGAGGATATCTTTTCCCTTTTTCTCCTTTCCAGGGGCCTTGAGTATAAAAATGATTGAAAACCACTGATTTAAACAAAGTAATACTTTTTCCTATATACACTGTATTAGGTTTTAAGTGGTTTTCAGTAGCCACATCTACACGTGCACTTTACTGCAGAGTAGGCTACTTAGCTGCAGAATAGTGTCACTGTCTACACGTGTGACAATATTAGGGCACAATAAACTAATTAGTGCTGCAGCAAGGTAGTACTGTCAAGGACAGTATTATCTTACAACAAGGTAATATACTGTAATTAAATGTATGTGTAGATGCTGACCACAAGCATAGGTCAGTCCAGCCAGCTGGGGGTCAGACTCTTGCCTGCAGCCTAGCCATTTGGCTTTGTGCTTTCAGCACTCTCATGCCCCAGCCAGCCCCTCCGCCACCTGACACTTCTGCCTGGACCTGACCCCCTGTATCCTCTTCCAGCCCAGGACTGCTCTACCCTGGCTCAAATTGCTGCTGTCCTGTGCACATGTGTAGATGGTGTGCCTGGAGTAGTTTATCCTGGCTCAAATTGCTCTGGAGTTTATTGATTCTCATTAATTAAATGTGTACATAGGCTCACGTGGGTGCATCTACACATGAAATTAATGCACCTGAATAAACTGTGGTGCAGTTCACGCAGGAGCTTATTGCTCCCAGGTGCTGCATTTACACTTGCACCCAGAACCACAGCACATTATGCCAAGTCAGAGCAGCCCTGTCTGGCAGGGGCCCCGGGAGGTCTTCCCGCTACTCTGACTTGGTTCAACATGTGGAGGGGGCTGGTGGGGACACAAAGGTGCTTCACTGTGGGGCTAGCCAGCAGACAGCTCCCACACTGAAGCACCCTTGTGCCCCAGTCGTGTCCATCAGTGTCTACACGTGCATTGTGGTGCACTAAGTAGTGCTGCTTCAGGATAGTACTTCTGTTTACAAGTACTAACCTACAGTGGAGTTAATTGGCTTACTGTGGTCTAATGAGGCCACATGTATAGATGCTGAGACTTTACTGCATAGTTAATTAGACAACTCCAAAGTAAACATCTCATGTAGATGTGCCCAATATAAAGAGATTTCATGACTAAATTTATACCTAATGCTGATGGGGCAACTTACTACCTTCAGTGAAGTTGCACCAGCTTACTTTATATCCAGCATTAACTTCTTAACTTTTTTTTAATCACTGCATATTTAAAAATGAGTCCACAATATGTTAAAAATATTTCACTACATTTTAGACTCTTATTTGGCCGGAGTACGAAATTCTTTAGTAAGATTACCTCAACCAACACAATGGATAATTATAACCCTTTCTTCTGCATGCATTTCAAAATGTATTCAGGGTAAGAAGTGTTTATCTTAGATGTTTCTTGTTGCTAAGCTGATGAAATGGCTGCGGTTTTCCTTTAAGGAAGGTCATATTATTTAGCTCCCAGATTCTCCCTTTATTCCGTATATAAATTTTACCACAGCATTTGAAAGCTTTGAGTTATATAGTACAGCTTAATTGGTTAACTTTATTTCATTTTGGGACAGAGGTTGATGTGAGATATGTTCTGTGAATGCCAAAAGAAAAGCTGGTTATCCCTGTGAGAGCCTTTTTCTTGTGGAGAAATTTAGGACCTCATTCAGAATAACTAGCCTCTGTAGTTTTGGGGGGTGTTACAAATTCTATGACTTTCCCAAACTCCCAATTTGCAGGAATTATTCTTTATTCTGTATTCCAAAGATTTGATTTCCCTTGTGTAACCACTGGACAACGCTGTTAGTTATGACCCCTCAGCCATCATCTCTGCCCTGCTACTGTCAATTCGTCTCAGAGTTGGAAAGATATTTTTATAGTTCAATAAAAATCATAGTCTGAGGATGACCATTTAAATGGGTTAATCAAGCCTATTCAACTGCAGAAGTGTGTTTGTGTCTGAAGAAAATACAACCCAGACCCAGCCAGCCTTAAATTTTCCCAGTTCCATGACAATCAATGAACTTTAATTTAGGAAGTATAGCCTTTTAAACTTGCCTCCGAGCAGTGAGGGGCAAAATCTGCCAACACTAGCCCCCTTAAGAATCAGGGTAATAGGGTCCCTTGGCATTGTACCAGCTTAGCAATTTATTAATTTATTTTAAAATAAAATATATACCTTCTTCCTTTTGCCACTCTATATCCAGCTCTGATAACTATTTTCTCATGGGGGTTGGGAGGCAACAAAAACAAGATGGTTCCTACATAGATGGGGATCAGACCTGAGAAGGCATTGAGGAATTTTCTCACAGAAGGCATCATCCTCTTGCACATCTGGATTATATGGGTTTCTCAGGTTTATGTGAGCTGTGCCTGAACTGTGCTGAATACAGGCAACAGAAGATATGTGTGGAAAAGACCTAAACTATATGTTCAGTCCTCCTACCATGTAATATTATTATCCTCTGGTGTGTATTTTTTTAAAAAAAGAGGTTTCACAAGTAGGTCTTTAGTTTGTGGCATTTAGTGTGCTGATACATAGAAACTTTATACCACTTAATACAAATAAGACCTTATTTGTCTCTGAAGACATTTCTCAGTTTGTTCCCATTTTGTTGCCTTTATACCACTTAATGCAAATAAGCCCTTATTCTTTTCTCAAGACATTTCTCAATTTCTTGGCATTTCATTGCCTTTCATTCTTTTTCAGAATGTTTTTAAATACTCAAGGGGGAGAGGGAGGGAGGGAACAAAGTTACCAAAGCCAATATTTTTTAAATGAACCATTGAAGAAAGAGCAATAATACAAAAAGGGGGTTATCTCTGAAAGAATTTTGATATCACTTTGGTGTTATTAGTTTTCTTGGATGATTGAGACAGATAGGGCTAGATTCTATCCCATCTATTAGGCATGTAACTGGACCGAAACACCAAAGTGTGTTTTTATTCTACCCTGTTCAAATCCCTGAAAATCTATTAATTCAATAATGTTAGTAAGAGTCACCCTTTTCCTTAAGATTGAGTCACTAAAAACACAGGGAGGAAGAGGAAGACCCATTCACCACTAGTATTATTTTTTCAGAAACTCAAGCAGGATGGAATAGAATCACACTTAGGTGCCTAATTCCATCTAGATATGCCTAGTAGGTAGAATCGAATCTAGAACATTGCATACAAAAATACAAAAAGAAATAACTGTAGGTTTGTTTGTGTGGGGGTTTAATATTATTATTGTCTTTGTTTTCATATGTGTCTCTAGCAGCTGTCCATCAGAATGGGCTCTCCATGAATCAGATGCTAATGGGTTTGTCACCTAACGTCCTACCTGGTCCTAAAGAGGGTGATCTGGCTGGTCATGAGGTTGGGCATGAGACAAAAAGAATACACATTGAAAAAGGTAAAACGAATGTGATATTCTTCCTATTGTAATAAAAAGCAAAGGTTATGGCCCAGATATTGGTGGCTACATAATAAGATTATTATTAAATATTGCTTTAATAATAGTGTGTTGTGGAATAAGTGAAATCTTGATGGGACCATGGATTTTTTGGGGTCCCCCTGGTCTATCACCTAGACTAATATGGACTATGCTTTATAACAAAAGCTGTAAAGAAGGAAGAAAGGATAAGTACAACAAATGTTGGCCTAAACTAATTCCTCATGGTCTAGCTAAATGATTGATTCTTTAATAGTATTTTAATGAGAGCTAAGAACACTGTTAGGCAATTGTTGCAACTATAGTTCTCCAATGAAATATATGCTGCCTAAAGTCCATCATCTTGTGATGCACTTTGGTGATCTGATTTTTCTGATATGACAACACATAAAAATTAAGCCCTGTAAAGAAAAAAGCAAGGTTAATACCTGGCTTTACACTAGCCAACAGCAAAAAAAACCAAATCTGGTAGATATTGTGAGATTTATTTTAAATTTGATCGACTAAATGAGTGCAAATGTCTGATCTAGATTAATAGTCTATTAATGTTTATATTGATCAAGTTAGCATATCATCATGTTGAGTACACAAATTTATTCAATTCTCTATATAACTGAAATATTAAGTTAGAAGCCAGGATAGATTTGCACCTTTATAGACTAATTAAATCAGATGTATAGCATAAGCTTCCATAAGCAGAGGGTTTATTTCTTCAGTCTCTGATGAAATAAGCCCTCTGCTTATGAAAGTTTATGCTGTGTATCTGATTTAGTTAGTCTAAGAAGCTAGGTACAGACATTAAGAAAGTCCGAAGTGGAATCAAAGTTGCAGGGTTTTCTGTAAGCAGTGTAGTTTAGATCAATAGTGAACAGAACACACATTTGCCCTTTGATGGAGGGGACAGGGGTGGTGGCACCATTAGACTGGGTTCCACCATTGTTAAACCAGCCTATGTGCACCTAATTTTTGTTCTGTTCTCTTATGGTTATAGACCAGTTTTCAATCACTTATACCAATAAAAGTGTAATGGCTGTACCTGGTCTAAAGGTGCAGATCTATACTGTCTTCTGTCTGACTCTGGACTAACATGCCTAATTCCCCTGTCTCTGCTAGTGAAGTAATAAGGCAATTCTTCCAGATTTAAAAATATGATTTGCACAAAGTTCTCATTTAAACTACATAAAGCATTTAGTAATCTTTACAAAGTGGGAAAATAGTGTCATTGGTAGAGGGACTAGAAATAAGAGTTTCCTTTAATAAAAATATTCTTTAGCATAGGAGAATCAGGAGAAATCAGGTCTTTTGAATGAACTGAGCAAAGAAGGCTGTCACTGCAGTACAGCTGGAAAAAAAATGTGTGTTAACAAGAAAGATTAAAGAACAGGACACTCTGTGTTCTATTTTAATAGGTATGAGAGGTTACCTTCTCAGTTCTGTGTTTGAACTTTGAGATAGGGGAAGAAAATTAAAATCTGGACAGTTCCATTTTGGACATGTGGTATTTTTAATAAGATTACCCTAAAAATTAATGGAAACAACATTTCTTTTATTAATTTTGCTTCATTGCACACACAACCTGATTTAACTTCTTATGTGCCCTCACTCAGCCCTGCAAATGGTATCCCTGCTGAGAAGTATGATGTGATCAAATTGTTTTGAATTTTGTAAATGTTTTAATTTCAGCCCATATTTTCCCAGTGTAGTGTAGTTAACCTGGTAAAACCAACACAGTGTGGCACTTATTGTTGTCATATATACAAGATTTCTCTCTTAAAATGATGACTTTTGTTTTTAGTGTTACCACAAATGTATCTCTCCGTGCCATCACCAGTTCAAGGTAGCTATTAAATCTGGTGTCATTGAAACTCCTAAGGATTTTATTTCTTCAGCAGTCATTGTTTAGGTCAAACCATCTATTTTTCCTTCTCTTTCTCCCTCTGTTTCAGCCTATTGAATTTATGGTAAATATTCATGGGCTATCTAGATTGATAGGGTATACTAAATTAAAAATTGTTTTCTGTCATGACTACATTTATCATGTCTTTCATACCAGTGCTGTAACTTTAATACTAAACTTATCTGTATTAAAACAAGTGATTTCAGTTACAGTCCAGAGAAGAGCCACGCACATGATCAGAGGTCAGGAAAGCAGACCTTACGATGACAGGCTGAGAGCCATGGGGCTCTTTAGCCTGGAAAAGCGCAGGCTCAGGGGTGATCTGATGGCCACCTATAAGTTTATCGGGGTGACCACCAGTATCTGGGGGAGCGTTTGTTCACCAGAGCACCCCAAGGGATGATGAGGTCGCATGGTCATAAACTACTACAAGACCATTTCAGGCTGGACATAAGGAAGAATTTCAGAAGCCCCCAAGGTCTGGAACAGCCTGCCATCGAAGGTGGTTCAAGCACCTTCATTGAACACCTTCAAGAGCAAATTGGATGCTTATTTTGGATCCTGTGACCCCAGCTGACTTCCTGCCCTTCAGGCATGGGGCTGGACTGGATGATCTTCCGAGGTCCCTTCCAGCCCTAATGTCTATGAAATCTGTGAAATCTATGAAAATGTCTATATTTTTGAAGATAGTAATTATCTGTTTGTCTCACTATGGCCCTGCAGTTCAAATATTCAGCTTTCTTTTATCACTTCTACTGAGTCAAATAGTAATTATTATATTAAAAAATGCAAACAAAACCAACTCAGGCATGTATATTCTTAGGCTTGAAAATGTTGTCCTTATAATCTGACTTAAAAAAAAAAAAAGCAGAAGTTTTGAATGAGTCATTAAGCATTTATGCATTACTTTATTTTCTTCTGAGACACATTTGTGTCAATCTATCAGCTAGAACTAGAACGACTTTTAATTACAGCTGTGAGAACTTGGGAAATCCCACCTGGTGAAAAAGCCTCTGTCTCTTTCCTTTTTGTCCCCAGCTCTATTTTTTTAAAAAACAAGAAGCTCTTCAAGGTCCTGAGCTTAGGGAGAATTTAATTAAAATCAATGGGAAATTTAAATGGGAGACAAAGTTTTAGTAGTGAAAAGTAATAGACACATTACATTTTAAGTAGGTATAAGTAAAGCCAGAAGGGGCCAGTCGTCATTTAACTGATGGGCTGGGTCAAGGAGAAGAATCATCCTGTATCCTTGGCAAAAAAGAGCTAATCTACCTCTCCTGTAGCTGTGTTGTATAGCATAATGATTATAGATGCAGTGCATGTGCAGCTGGTTTTTTGCTCATTTAATTTGTCCATTCCAAAGTGGTGTGATCTGTCTGGATTTCTTTAAAACATTTGGTTAGCCAGAACTGTTATTCTTAGCAGAAAGAATCGGTTTATTTTAATATGGTGGAAACAAAAAAGGAATAATGACTAATAAGTCTGGGATTTTTTAAACCAGTTTTTCAGTCATTTAATTAATTCTGTCATGTGGACCTCTAAAGTCTATTCAGTCTTGGGGCCTTACACCCCAAATGGTTGAATGACCCCAACTCCTATTGAAATCAATATGCTGTTACTTCTATGGGACTTGGAGTTGATTCTCTGAGACATGTAGTGTAATTAATGATGGATGACTGGGGTACTAGTTATGGGGACAAGTTCTGATGGTGTGACCCAAGTCCCCTCTGCCTGTGGAAGTGAAGGCCTCCCTGGTATATATTCACCTGCTCCCTGCGTTCCTCTGTACCTGAACTACAACTCTGCAGCTCTGAACTACACTGCTGCCCTTACTACTCTTACTGCCCCTTCCTAGCAGTTGGTGGTAACTGGAATCAGTGTTGCAAGTAAAGAGAGGTATCTGCAATGGGATGGCATGAGAATGATAAAGCAGCCCCCAGCACAGAGCAGGGAGGGCTGGTGTGGTAGCAAGTTACTTGGGAGCTGAAAAGTTGTGGTTCAAGGACAGAGAAGCAGGGTGGTGAAGAAGGATTCGAGGCCAGTACACAAAACTTAGTAAGTATGCCTCTGCATGGGACTGATCTAAAGCTTATTAAAATCAGTGGATAGGTTCGATCAGACCTAGAGCAATACTTGTAGCAATAAATGCTTTAATAGCAAAATAGGAGGAGCACCTGTTCTCAAGACAGCTTTTACCTGATACCTTAGGAAAGTAAATTATTCTACATTTTTTGTCCATCTTCTCGATCATCAGAAGGTAACAGTTTTTCCAGATTCACTGAAAATGTACTGCAAAATTGCAAATGATCCTAGGAAGGAGGGTAGTTTAAATACTTGACAGCAGTCAACATCAAGACAAGTTGTCCTCATCTTGGCAGCTTGCACATTAGATATCCTTTCATGATACATGTATCCTTAAAAAATTAAGTATGATTTCACAAAAAGGCGTTATTATACCGTGGTGGAGGTTTGTATTGGGTAATGCAGAAAAGACTAATGCAGCTCTTGTCAACTCAGTGCTTAAGTTGACTCAGAACTGTGGCAGGTAATAAAAGAAGCATTGATTAATCATCACCTCTTCTAGCTGCCTTTACAATACAAGAGTATGCCTGCTCAACTTTTCCAAAGAAAAGGATAGTTGCTGACCTTTGAGGTAGAGTTGCAGAGTGAATGAAGGTGTCTTCCCTCAGCCAAGGAAATATCTGGGAGAGGAGGCATTTATGCCTCACCTGTGTCCTCAGCATTTCCCTACTGGCTAGCTCTAGGCAAGTGCATTTTGAGCATGCTATCTTTAGGCAGTTCCCTGCTCAACATGTTGAATGTTTTGGATATGATTCTGAAGTGCACAACCCTCACCATCAATTTTGTATGGAGTGTAGAGTTTGAGATTCCAGTTTGGAGCCAAGTGCCTGAAAGTCAGATGCTGAAATGTCTGGCTTTTAGATGCCTAAGTCCTTTATTGGATCTGGCCCTAGGGCATCAGATTAGAATCCTCTATCTGCATCAATTTATATTTTTTAGATTGACACCAATAGTAAATGAAGCCTGAATGTCATTCTTACAT